TGGCTTTAAAACACACAAACATATATCTCTTGTTGCTTTTGTACTTTTTGAGCAGTTATTTGTTGTTGAGAAATCATTAAAAGGAAGTAATTTTTAGATATGACTCGGGAGAGTAAACACAGTCACTGAGATCACAGAGAAAAAACAAAGTCAGAGATACAGTTTGGCACAGATAAGTGAACGCTTTGATCAGGAGGATGGCAGGTCTGTGTGATGAGAAATCTCTTCTTTAGTGCTTCCCCCTCTTCTCTTCAACCAAAATACTATGTCTTCCAATCAACGGGGCCATTACAGACCTTGAGGTATTGTTTAATCTATCTTATCTTGTTCGGTCTTGGTTTGTTTTACGAGATAACGTTAAGCCATACTTCCTCTGCAGATCTAAACCCTGACTGACCCTTTTGTGTGACTCTCCAACTCCAGAGAACTAAATTCATCCTTACACTGAAGGAATGTGCTGCTGAGTTAAGGAATAAAAAAGGTGCATGTTTGTCTAAAAGGTTCTGTCGTAAGTTACACAAGCATGAGTGGTCCATTGTAAAGATAAACGCTGTCATTTAACGAAGGCTGGAGAAAAGATGCTAAATTGGCTATTTAAAGATTTAATGCAGGAATAGTAAACCAGTTACAAAGCAAGAGAGACAGGCTTCAATTAGCTTCATGAGAGATGCATGCTGAACTGTGAAACACTGAATGGTAATTCTATCTTTTATCTCCTTTATTGTGCTGATTAGTGCAGTGGGGGGAGAGTGCTCTATCTAATCTGATCACACAGCATTGTGTTTGGGGTCATTAACCTATGGGAGGTCCTGAGGTTGACGAGTCAGCTCGCAACCCCCCTCTGTACCTTTTTATGGAACTCAGTCATCCCTGAGTTCCTCCGTCTCCACAGACATCACAACAGCGACCACAAAAAAACAACCAAAGAAAACAAAAGACAAGGGGGAAAACAGCCGACAGAGCATTTGCATTGCTTGTCACTCTACCACAAACACGCGGCCCAAATGACTGCTGACCGCGGCCCCTGGGCTCGGCCAAGCAGCAGGATGTCGGCCCCTTTAGTCTCTGTTGTTGTTGGCTCTTTTCTTTCTCTGGGCTGCATCCTAGTCCCAAGAGATGAAGGGGTTAACCCATCCCTCAACATCTGGGATCTGCATCAGAAAAGACTTGTACCTTATACTGCATGGCGTAATAGCCATCCGGCCTACAGCTAGGGCCTGCTTCAAGTTACTGACATCTGCATTCATATGCATAAAGATCCATCAGTGAAAGCTTTCCATTTTGGGCACTACCATGATGCCTGCATTTACATTTATACAAACCCACACTAATGAAATCCATCATCCGTCAACATATTTATCCATTCACAGATTCATATTTTTTTTTCTATAAACCCTCTTTTTATCCCTGTCACACACATTTCATCCCCTGCAAATCAAAAATGTGAATAGTCTAGCATAGCAACAGCACCTCTCATCTACAAATCCTAGTTAAACTGTTGTGATACTGAAAAGCTGCCTGTCAGGATGGCAGAGCGGAGATGAAAGGCCCGCAGCAGAGATCGCTGCTGATTGCCTGTAGAGGATGAATATGCAAATAAAGCACAAGGTAAATGAAAAACAAAGCGGGTTTTAGACAGCAGCCTTTTACATGTTCCCCTTAATTTGGCAATAGTTAAGAACAGGGAGAGTCTTTCAATAATGAATTCCAGTCAGAGCGAGGAAGGAGACATGAGAGGAAATCTGGCTCCATTTTCCCCTGCGAGCCCCTGAGCAGTTTTGGGGCCTATTGTACTTCACAGCTTTTCAGCGAATGCAAGCTAAGCTTAAGTGACAGATAAACCGAAAATTGGAGGAGATAAAATAATGCCCATAACACCTAGATTACAAAGAACCAATCAGACTGGGTTGGTGCATTTTGGCTAACAGTCCAGAAAGTAGGGCAGTATCTATTGACCACAGCAAGAGCAATGTGGTAAATCGATTATCTGGTCGAATGTCTGTCATGAGACAGAAAACGGGGAGCAGGACTGTCTGATACCAAACAAGAACAAGTGCACACTTAACAGTTGTTTTGTAGCCACCAGAGCCAAAAGGCACTTTAGCCAGCACTTAACTAAATCAAGTGGCTTAATATATTTAGCTATGCTGTCCCTCTTTGCAAACACACACAACGGAGAAGGAAACAACCTGTCTGTTGTCACAGTGAAATTGGCCAGACAGACTGGAGTGCATCCTTGGGAAAGGAGAGCACCTATCCCATTGAACAAAAGATGAACAAGGCAACAGATTTTCCTGGTCTTGAGATAACAGAAACCCAACACCGTTGTCCTCCAGTGGGACTCTTTGTATGTCTGAGAGAGGGTCAATCAGCAGCCGCTGACAGATGTGTCTGCAGTTGATTTAGGAGAGGAAGCCAGAGTGAGGTCAGGCCCAGGTTTCTCTGCTCGGTTCTTCTGGAGGAAAGACAAGGATCAAGTCAGGATGTCCCAGCCCGACCTTTTCACACCTTGCTGTCTTTGGCTTACAACGCCTGGATTTAAATGATAAGACAGCTGGGCTTATTAACCCACTTGCAAAACATTAAGCATCTGTAAAAACTGCAGTAGCTTTATTTCCCACTGATCTGCCTACAAATGAACAGCACACAGGCAGGCGATTTAATTGTTGTCAAGGAATCCCATTGGATTTCAAACAAAACTGAGAGGTGCTCCAGCTGGAAAGCAAACAAATCCGAAAGACTCCATTGGAGGTCGAAGTAGCTTTGGCAGATGCTGCAGGATTAACAGCCCGTTCAATTAGGCTCTCCAGTTTAGATGACAGTCGTGGTTTAACCATGTGTTGAAGTTGGACCACGTTCTGTCCTGGAAAAAAAAGAACTGGGCAAGAGATGTCAGCTGTCGTCACACACTTTAACAGTCACTCTTGTGGAGTACGCACCAGTCTTAATGAGGCCATAACAACTGCTCGCTGTAAAGATCCACATCAGCTAACAAGCAGACATCAGGAGAGCAGCATACAGAAACAGATATGGAGTGTAAATGGGGATGTGCAATGGCTTGTGCTGCTGTTCGTACTGTATGTCAGGAGGTTTCATGCATGAGTAACATTTGCATTAAGCATGCTAAATGAATAATACAATATTATTAATTCACACATACATATATTGCAAAGTCTGACATGTTCATTCACTTCACTTGTCAGACTAGACTATTATTAGGTCCTTAATGCTAGTTTACTGGCTTTTTAAACTGTCATTACTTATTACAGGGCAGCTGCTCTCTCCTGACAAACATCAGCTATAACTATTCCCACAACCAGCAAATATAGACTCTCCAGGCTTTCACTAATGAATATGATAATATGCTGGATGTAATAAACAAAAACTACCATTGAGAATGATGAATTACATGTCTCTGCCTTACAGACAACTGCTTATGTCACTTATATGTGAACATTGACAAACTGGCAGGAGCATGAAGCTGATGTCCAACACTTGATGAGCAGAGCGGCTCCACTGCAGCTCAGTGCTCCGGTCGGTGGTGTCGGCCTCGTCAGGTAGCCGGACAGAGAGACACTGGAGGCAGAGCAGGAGAGTGTGTTGGCTGGATCAGCTCCGCCAGACAACTCTTTGACTAACAGGCTGACTCACTGCTGCTTTGGGCCGAGTGGGGAGCAAACCCACTGGCTTCTTTTAAACATAAAAAGAAAAGGGCCAAAGAGGGTCAAACACAATGTATTGGGGGG